ACACTTTCACCATTTGTTCCTTTTTCTTTTCTTTCAAAATCACTGTAGCAACGTCATGTTTTCCAGACTTTCTTTTGGGGGGGGGGGCAATATTGTGACCTTGCTACAGTGCTTCACGTGCACAAAAAGGCCGACAAAAAAAAAAAAAGAAAGCTGCGCCGGTGACTGCTGCACAGCTCAGAATTCGCAGAAATAACAGTCCACTGCAAGATTGGGCAAAGAGCAGTTAGAAACTGCAAGAAAAACAGTAAACTCCGCGTTAGACGGCCTATCTGGGCTAGTGGTACCGCGTGGCCTGGCCTGGCCTGGGCGCAGGTACCGGTAGCAGGCCCTCCCATTTTTGGTTTCTGGCAGGACTCGGTTCGGGCGGGACTGCGTTTTCAAAATTGTGCAACAACAGTCGTTCATTCAGGGGCCGTGCTCCCACCACCTTGCAGTCTGCAGCAATGCCGTTGGTGGTTGACGCCCTCTCTCTCTCTCTCTCTCTCTCTCTCTCTCTCTCTCTCTCTCTCTCTCTCACACACACACACACACACACACACAGAAAAAAAAAAAAAAGTGTATATTGAAATAATATTTTCATGTTCCAATCGAAGATTCATTTCGATTTTGTTCATCCTATCGATCGAAGTAGCCTCTCTCTATCTCTCTGCGCGCATGGYGGGAATGCAGTGTATATTTCCATGTTTTAGCGGAAGATGGAGGCTACTTCGATCGACAGGATGAGCAAAATCGGAATGCATCTTCGATTAGAACATGGAAATATACACTGCCAGTGGGCTGACCGGACCCCTGTGAAAGAAAATTTTTTGTCTCTTTGGACGTATTTTTATTTTATTTTATTATTTTTTTTGGCTTGTTACGAGCCAGGTACAGCACTACGGGGGTTGAGTACGCCTAGAGCCTACCAGACCCCGTGAAAGAATTTTTGGGCTGTGTTACTTTGTATTTTCGCATTTTTTCTTTTACCGTGGAAGTTTGCTTCAGCACGGCGGCGCCGAACGGTAACTTGGGTCGCCGTGACAACGGCGGC